TCAGTCACACGACTCACACGAACCAAACCCTACTCTCTTCACTCTTCTCCACTCCCAGCCTCATTTTCTCTCAATCTCCTCTCAATTCGCCGATTTATAGGGCTGATAGAAGTAAACGGGCGAGAGGAGGATTCCAAATCTCGTTTCAATTTCTGGTTTATAGGGCTCAACATGTGAATTTCCTTATCGATTAATGTCTTCTGTGTAATTTAACAATTGGGAATCTGATTCTGATTTGAATCTTTGGATTTTATTTGAATTTGTGATTTTTTAACTTTTGTCTTTATTTTTTGGACCATTGGTTGGTTTCTTGATTGTGTTATCTCTATTATGAGTTTCTTGATTATGTTGCAAAATATGAATTTATTTTTAAATTTGTTGGGGGTTTGGTTTAGCTGAGTTATTATTAAATTTCTTTATCTGTTGCTACAGTCAGGATGGCTGGGAGGGGGTATTTGGACATTATTGAGGGTGAGAATGGAGAGGGTGCTTGATAGAAAATTACAGGGTTATCACCATGTTTATGCAAGAGAAACTGCAAGCAAACCTTCCATACCAGACTCAAAAATTTATATTTCTTTGTAATTTGGTTCTATGGACTTCCATCTCATATGCGATGGTCCATAAACATATAATTATGTTGCTTCATTTGTTTTAAAAAAAAATCTTCAAGAAAATTGTTGCTTAATAGACCATCTTTATTGTCAGTTATCAACTGCACTCTTCATGCATTTCATAATAGAAGGTGCAAAATAGTTAATTTCGAAATGGAATTTTCTTGGAGCAAACATGTCATGTTGGCATATGTTGCTGCACAATATTGTGCAGAACGTGTGAAGATCTATCTATAGATTGCTATAGATACCAATGAACTTTAATAAATTTATGATACGGGTAATCTCTTTCCAAAATCCTGGTAAAATTCTTCATTCTTAGGTTCAGATTCCCTAATGTTCAACCAGAAGTATTTTCCTTGTTCATCTGTTTTGATCAAGTTAGTCCATTCTCTTTAACGTAATATATTAATGTTGCTTTAAATTTAGTACTTTGGTGATTTTAATATTTGTTGATATGTCGTCACAAACCGACCAACCCAACCCAACCTAACCTGATCGACGTTTGGTTGGGTTGGGTTAGGTTTCGATCTTTACATGGGTTGTGTTGAATTTATAGTAAACCGATCATGTTGGGTTGAGCTTGGGTTAGGGTGAAAAATCGACCAAACCCAACCCATGCCCACCTCTAATTGTAAAAAATGTATTATATTTTGAATATTATATTTATTATTTAAAATTATTTTTTAGTCATTATGTCTCGCCCCCCTGAAGAATAATCCTGGGTCTGCCCCTGAGTCGGACCATCGAAGAATTACATATAAATATTCAAATTGAGTTAGCTTCCTGTCTCATATTTGCACAGGAAAACTGTGCTCATAGAATCGTTAATTTGCTTGAAAAGTTCCTCGGCTCGTTCAGAAACTAATGATGATAAGCTTGCTGGACAGTTATTTCAATGATCAAGAATTGGGCTGTATGTGTTGAATAAGTACATCTTCAGTTAGTTTCCACAAACAGCGGATGAATAATACAAATTTTAGGTCATTCTTTTGCATTCTAACGGGTGTCCGTTTAAATTATGATATTTGAAAAGGAAATGTTTTATATTGAACTCAATAATTTTGGTTAATAACTTGCAAAACTATAAACCAGTTTATGGTAAGATTGGAGGTGTAAAAGCGGTATAGGGTTGCTTTGGAGCGATCACGACTCGCATTTTTATTAGCATGGATCGACAGTCCTGGTTTTTTTTTATCATTACATTTTAAATGTGTACTTATAGCATGTACGAAATTGGGTCTTTGATTATTATGACAAGACACTTTAAAAATCATCACTACATTTTTGTACTAATTAGATTCTTCGTCAAAGTCAAATTATTTAGCCCCTTTATTGATGATCATTAAAACAATTTTTTTTCTCAATTTTTTTTTTAATCACAAATTCTTACAATAAAAATATTCTAACTTTTTAACTATATATTTTACAAAAAAATCGCTATTTCAAAATTCATTTTTCTTAAACAACTCATTTTAATGGTTGTCAAACAAGGGCTTATACATCTAAGTTTTTCTGTTATATAATAATTGTATGACTAATTTAAACATTTTGTAAAGTTGAGTGACTATTTTGAAACAAATTAAACTAGAGTGGCATTAATAAAATTACAACTAGCATCTCCCCTTTCGCTGTTATATTCCGCCCTCAGAAGTCGTCGCGCCATCTGTCCCCTCTCTAGAACACACCTCTTCACGCGCCACCGCGACCGCCACTTAGACACCCCACCACTCTTTATCCTTATTGCCACACTCACTATTCAACTCCACTCCCTGTACTCGCGTAACCAAAATTAGTGAAAATGTCATCGGAGCCGTCTTCACCGGCCAACTTCTCCTCCATAGCACCACTCCTCCGCAACCGCCAGTCGCCTCCTCTCCGCCCCTCTCCGCTGTCTATCCTCCTGTCACGCATCGTATCCTCCCAGCGCCGCGGCGGTGCTTCTATGCTGGTACGGGAGACAGCAGCTCGTGAGCTCGAGGAGCGCCGCGCCGACTGGGGATACTCCAAGCCTGTCGTCGCTCTCGACATGATTTGGAACTTGGCCTTTGTGATTGTCTCGATTGTGATGCTGATTTGCACGGGTGATGAGAACCCTAATGTGCCCATTAGGGTTTGGGTATGTGGATACGCTCTACAGTGTCTAGTCCACGTGGTACTTGTTTGGATTGAGTATAAGAAGCGGAATTCGAGTCGGAGGAGAAATGGGAACAGGGGGGCAGGGGAGGATAATGATTTTGAGACTGAGGAGGATGAGAGTATCGGGATTTCTAATAGCTACAGGTTATCTCTTTTTATTCATTTCCATTTCTTATGTCACGGTATCATGTAGAAAGTATTTCATGGCATCCTGGAGGTTATTTGTTATGAATTTTGTGGGTTATTAATGTTCTTTGTTGTCTCCTTGTCTACTTGAGTTGGAAATGAATTTCAATTAGTGTTAAATTACCAGATACCATGGCTACTAATGTTGCCGGACATAGCTCCAGCTGCAACTCCAGTACCCGAAAAAGATGACTCTGTTTCCCAGTTTTAACTCCAACTATCAAGTCAGTGGGTAGTATAAGAGTATTTGTATTTACTGAATATGATATTGGAAGAAGAAGAAGAATACCTGGCTTCACCTTCTATTTCTAGGTATATTTACTAGATTAACAAATCTGTCGGTGGGGGGACACGCGTCGTATGTTTCCAGTGATTGGTGGATAGAATCTCGCTAAAATATGTCCTTTTTATTGAGCTGGCAAATGATTATGTCAAATTAGATGACAGCTGTCGATCATTGCACTTGGTCGGTTATCAGCTTCTTGTCATCAAGCTTTGACCCGGGAAAGTGGACAACGAGCATGGTGTTGATGTGCAGCTGTGAATATTGCCGGGCATTTCCCCGACAAATGACTGAATTGTCATGAACCATGGTCGAGCTGCCCAAATATCAATCAATATGCACCTTATAAGTTTGAATGTCAACTGTTATCGAGGCCCTAATGTTATTGGTTCTCCTAGATTGACAAATCATGCTGATGGTTGACTCCTTGTATTCATCTGGCTTCATTGTCAATTTCTTGTTTATTTGATATGATAGTTTGTGTATGTAGTGTGCTTGAACACATGCTTGTTTTTTCTTCTTTGTTGAGGAATTCTGAAATTATAGTTTGAGTTTGTTGTTAACTGCATAATTTTCTGGGAATAATTTTTCCATTGACGATAATATATGTTTCAAAATATCATACTAAGAAAATCTTTCACCCATCATTATGAAATCTTTGTTTTCTCTTTTATATTACAGTATTTGAACTAATTGTCTTAGAATGCTAAAATGGTTACGAAGTTGTTTCTGAGGTTAAGTGTCAACAAAAACCAATAAATTAATCCTAAAAAAATGAAAGAAGTAGGAGATATGTAAGAAATTTTCTTGACTTGACTTTGAAAGGAAACCTAAAAATATGAAAACAAGAACGCGGAGACAAGAAGGAAATGTAAAAGAAAGAGAAGCGTTAATGTAGTTGTCACTGTATTAAATTGGGAATCTTCATTTTGTCATCACTTCTCTCTGGTCACTAGTCTTCTGCTGTTGATACGTCGCAACTTCACTTTGGGGATTAAATTTTTGTAGGAATAACAGCCAAGAGCACGCACGAGCTCTTCAGATATTCTTTTTCTAACCGCCTATTATCCTTTTCCTTTGATGATATACTTTTAAACATCTTTCGCCTCATCTTTGGTTCCTAGACACGAAACAAGTAAAAATGCTTTCGCCTGTCTTTAGGATCTGCCTCTGGGCTTCCCTTCTAACTAACTTATACTTTTAATAAACATTTGCATTTTATACTTTAGCGTGTTTATAGCATTCTCCTTTGGCTTAAACATCTAATTTTATCATTTGATTCCCTACTACCTCCTTGGTTAGGTTTTTAAAGCAACTATCCTCCTCACTTTACATCACATTACTATTTCTATCTTATACTATCTTCATCATGCAAAACTATATCCTTAAAACCCGTGTATTTTGTCTTGTAAGTTTCACCATTTGGTTCTAGACTCAAAACTCTTGAGATATTTTTTTCCACTTCTTTATAGCTGTATCAATTACCATTGCTCTATCTTGCATAGTTAGGGAAACAATTAACCTTGCTAACAACAACACTTAATTGTTTCCTGTTTCTGAAAGTTATACATTTTTTTTTTTTGAAACAAGAATTTGCTAGCACGAAACTGTAAGTCATCTTTCATTCCCGGAAGTTAGTTTTCGTGTATTCTTTTCATATTTTATATTACCTTTTCTTGGATGATCGCCTAAATTTCCTTTAATGAACATCCCATCTTGATTAGTAATTGCCACTGTATACTCATCCATGCATTCCCAAAGTCATTACCTTGTTGGATTATCTAATCCTATTTGTAAATAACAGATCTTCTACCTTATCATCTTTAATGTTCAATGATTATTTAGCCCTTGTTGAGCCCCCCTTTTTTGGGGGAAAATGTGTTTTGTAATAGTGATTTTTTTGGAGAAGAGTGGTTAAAAAATTGGGAAAAGCTTTGGATTTACGTGTAAAATTATTTTATGGGAGAAAGTGTGGTTGAAAATGATTTTTGGGAAAAATGGCCTCAAACAGGGGCTTAGTAAATCAATGAATGCACTATACTTATACCTTGAGGAAATCTGGATTCCCATAACAAACTTGCTGATCAAGTGCACTGTTGCTCAAGTATCCTTGTGGCCGGACTAAAAACTCCTCTCTCACAACTATGCCATATTTATACAACAGCTTATTCTGCGGCACAAACATGGAATTATATAATTTCTCCTATGAACCCTGAGGGGTTGCTCAATTGGTCAGGTCTTGGGTTTGCTCCCCAATGATCACCAGTTCGAGTCCCCTCAGGGCCACTGAGGTGAGTACCCGACCGTAAAGTTCAAGGCCCCGTGAAATTAGTTGAGGTGCGCGCAAGTTGGCCCGGACATCCACGGTTATCAAAAAAATATATATATATATATATAATTTCTCCTATGAGATAACACTTACTGTATGTGTATATAGCAAGGAGGAGAAGGGAAATGAATGAAATAATTAGTTAGAAAAAGAAAGGATGGAGCTGAAGGTGTTGATAGTTACACTGTTCTTGGGTGGATAACAGGAAGGGAAAGGAAGACTTGCATTAGAAAAGGACAAAATATTTTATTTCATCTCCTCTTTTTCTTCTATTTGTAATTTATTGTGAGTGTATGGGAGCCTTAATCTGCGTCGTAATATATACAGTTGCTTATCATGTTTGTGGAAACCTATGCGCTTTCTCAATAATCTTGTTGTGGAAGGTCTTGTGTTTGGTTCTATGAGTGCACTTTATTTTAAAGATGTGAAGTAAATTGGATTGTCTTTTTATATTTTGATAATTGCAGAACTAGATTTTATCAAAAAAATAAAAGAAAAAGAAACACAGTGGTACAGAAATACCACTGATAGCTAGCCCCCTTTTTGTTTCTCATTTTTCATCCATAAAAATGAAAAATATGACCGTCATCCATCACATCAAGCTATTAATTTTGAATTTCTATATCTTGTGTGGGGCCAATAACGGCTATATTTTTCATTCTTATTCTACAATAATGAGAATCAAATGGGCCCCTAATTTGGAACATGAATTATCTTGACAAAAAAATTATAGCTTGTGAAAAATTGCAGAATGATCTCAACCATATAACTGTTCTGTATTTATGTCGTAGAGTAATGATGATATAAGATTTTAACAGTAAGGAGATTACTGGTTAGCTATGGAAGATGTACTATCAGATTTAGCTTAAAATAAAAAGTGATGCAAGCTAACAGTGTTGATGAACCAGCAATGTTTACTATTATGATATTTTAATTATCTTTTGGCACCGATTTAAGTTTATCCTTTCTTATTATTTTTGTGAGGGATACCATATCATGTCATTATTTTCCTCTCTTTATGTTTATTTGCTAAGCTATGGGGATGGGTTGGGAAAAAATGTATTTGCTCATTAATTTTGTTCCTACAAGTTGCTGTTGAAACATCATCTACTTGCATTATTTACTTTGGTTTGATGACATTTCAGTATTGCAAAACGTTGTGAATCGGTGAACACAATGGTGTCGTTTCTTTGGTGGATAGTTGGCTTTTACTGGGTTGTCTCTGGCGGTGAAATTCTTTTAAGAAGTGCACCACGTCTCTACTGGTAAGTCTCATAGAATGTTTTAATCTGTAGTGCTCAATTTATAGTTGTGGCCCCTTTAAATGGTGAAACAATCTCTGAAAGCCAATTTTGCTTCTTTATGGCTGTTAAAACTTCTTCTTTTATTTAAATTGTCACTTGGTCTCCTACACATAATTTTTTTTTTCTAGTTAACTGGTCAGTTTCGTCTCCAACAAAAACAAATTCTTTCCTTTTTTTAAGGCTTTCATCCTAGAATGTTTTGGAGATAAGGCAATGATTAATAAACCATAGCTGCTGGGTTGTGCTTCTCTCCCTATTTGGTGCTTCTAAAGTGAAAGCAAAAACGAATAATATTCATGCCATCATCAAGTGGCTCCCCCATTCAGGGAAACCCGCTTTTTGAGGCTTCTGCCTTACTCAAAGAGGATTGGAATGCCTGAATCACGAGTCGATGGAGCTTAGTGACCTGAAGAGACCTTAAAGTTTGAAAGTACTGATGCAAATAAATTTCAAATTCTCGTTGGGTACTCATTTTTTCTTTTTTTTTTTGATAGGTGGGTACTCATTTTTTCAAAAAACTTTTTATAACTATTAAACAAACATGGAACTGATTCAATTTATTAAAAGAGCAAAATTCATGAATATTATTGATTGTTAACACTAACTGGTGAAAAGTTCATTATTTTGTTTCCTAAGTGTCATCTATAACATTTTCTGCTGGTTCAATTATATTAGTAATAATAAAATTTTAATTTATCAAATTTACCTATGTGTTTGTGGGGTGTGGCTGGTGCTAATAACCTTTTTTGACCCATATTTAATATCCTAGTTATTTGGCCAACTTTTTGTGTAGGAGGAGGAAGCCTTATATATTGGTTTTGTCCTTTTGTTTTAGCTTCCACATGAACTTTCAAGTTATACATGAGGCCATTATGCATTCTTTTACATTATCAAAAAATTGCTGAGGTAGGGTTATGTTCATTTTATTAGTAACAGTTCTTACAAGTACTTCAGGAAAAATTGATTGTGTAGTTAACTGCAGGAAGTAAATAATTTATTACGACATTGCAAGTAGGGAATAAACTTTCAACTTGGTACGAGTGAGTAATAATTGACTACAAGAACTATAATAATTGAGCATTATATTTTGAGCTGAGCACTAGGAACAGTATATGGTCCATTTTAATAACATTAAAAATGGGAAGCATATAATAGATTTTTATTACAACTGCATTAGGGCTTGACTGCGAATTTTCTTTTAATAATAGCATTTGTTTTCAGAGAAAGAAGCAAGCTTAATTGACGATAACCCACTTTTTCTTTCCAGAAAACGTGTCCCTTGGACATAATTTAGTGGATACTTCATTCTAAAGTTCTGTTGGTCTGGTTTGATAGCTTACTCGGAAATTTATTCGACTGGTTCAGAATTTCTCTATTTTTGTTAAAAGGTTCTGCAACCATTAGCTACAGAAAGAGACTCTACAGATCCCTGAATTTGGAAATTTTACAGGTTGAGCGTGGTCTTTTTGGCATTCGATGTGTTCTTTGCCGTGTTTTGTGTAGTTTTGGCATGTCTGATAGGCATAGCTCTCTGTTGCTGCTTGCCTTGTATCATCGCGATTCTTTATGCCATTGCAGGCCAGGTATGATGTCAATAAAATTAGCTTTGAACTGTATCATTTGTCTACATGGATCTTAATTTTATTATGGCTTTAAAATACAGGAAGGTGCATCAGAGGCGGATTTGAGCATCCTTCCCAAATATAGATTTCAGATCTCCAAGGATGAGGACAAACAAGGCATTGGAGGTGGCAGAATGGTTCCTATTGAAACAAGCCATGGGGACATGGCAGAAGAGCGAATACTTCTACCTGAAGATGCTGTAAGTTCCCAATTTCCCCAACCGGTACTTAGTTCTGATTTTCTGTAACTTGAGTTCTATTGAGACCTTTTTATTGTTCGATATTATTATCACTTTATTGTGCTTTTGATATCGTAGATGTATTGATGTGTATGGCTAATCATTATGAAACACATTGGATTAATTATAAATTGCCTTATGGAGGTTGTATCCTTAAAGGGGAAAAAGTATGAAGTAGAGAATCCTGAAAGGGGAAAGAGTGCTTTATTAATTAAATCACTTTTATTCGACACAAAATTTATCACCCAAAGGTTCCACCAACTTTAACAAGAGAACTGTTCTAATTTTTCGAAGCTGGATATGCGGAATGTAAAATTTCAAATTTTTCATGACAATTGATTCCAACTGGCATACAAGTATCAAATAAATAATTAAAAGATCTTTGCAAAGTTAGACCTTCTTATCGTATGTTGAGATTGGGGTTGTTTCCTTACGCTTCCATCTGATATGCTGTTCTTGCCTCACTATGATGGATCTTGTGGACTTGTTTTCCTAATGGCCACCTGCCTAATGGTACTCCTTTGTCCTTGATCCTTATAGATCCGTACATAGATTATGCATATAAGAATAGAAGTATGAAAACATTTAATTTTATTGAAATAAGGTTTAAGAGCAAAAACTCTCTTAAACTTTATTTAGATACAAGTATTTAGATCCAGTATGGATTCACTATCTTTGAGGTTTTAGCCTCGAAATGAGTACATTAAAATTTTTAAACTAAGAAAGAAAATTTTTTCTTCCAAAATTTCTCCTCCCCTTCTCTCCTGAGTTCCACCAACTTTAACAAGAGAACTGTTCTAAACTTACACAGCACTCCAACTCTTCATACGTGCTCTCATCACTCCATGAGAGATCCTTGTGCCCCTCCTCAACATTCACCAACATACATATATTGACTTCTAGTCTATGTTCTCAAAAATGAAGTGGATATTGAAATGGCTTTCCATCTGGGCACATGTTGACTGGTTGGATCAGTCTCGTTGGAGCATCTGACATTGCGATGTCATATTCATTATCTTTAATATAGAACTTTTGAAACACACAAGGGAATAGAGCCATAAAAGACAAACTTCAATTTCGGGTGTACTAAACTGTAGAAAATCTCATCATATTCTAGTTATATCATATATGAAGATTAGGCTCGAAAATGACTGGAGAATTAATTAACAAATTTATTGCTTTCGATTGTGAACCAATAGAATCTCTTCATCTGGCATATCCTAAATTTTGCATATCACATCCAGATCTCTTGAAACCTTCCACACTCCATGTATGTGTAAAAGATATAAAATTACACGAAGATCAAAAGGGACCTACAATTCCCTAGAAACGTCATACAAACCTACAAGTAAAAACCTGTCTGAAGCTTGGAGAAAAACATGAATGGCTTCTGATTATCAATCTATTCTTTGCTTGATTGACCTTAAATCTTGAAGGTTGGGATGGTAACTTGATTTAAAGTCGTGTTATGAAAATATGAAATTATATGGGAAATGAGTAGCCATCATGGGAATGCCAGAAGGGTGGTGGTTGCGGTGGGGGAGATTAAGTCTGTACAAACATTAGAGAAGAGATGAGAAAGAGTGGCCCCTGGCTGTTGTTTGGTAGGCAGCTCAAAGAATAGGAGAAAAACTTATATAGACTCCTTAATAGTAGGCAACATCTGGATCTCAATTGTTCATGGTTTTACCAATGAGGCAGTGCTGGCTTTCATGCACACTAAAATTGAACAGGTGACCAGAACATTGTCTGGTCTCTCTTTCAAAAGGTCTTAGTGGGTAGCCTGACGGGGAAAATAAAGTTATTTGCAGTTGGATGAAGTTGTAACTAGAAATAAGTCTATTGCTTGGCAAAGGCAACTTCAAGATGCTTCCAGAGCACGACAAGGATCAGTTTATGAGAAGATTCCAGAAAGAGGAGACATATCAGACTTGCTATGTCATAGCTGCAATCTCTTCCTACTACTACTATTCCAGTGGAGATTCCATTTGTATGGATTGATGCATTTTTCACCACACTACCACACTAAATATCCCATATGATTAGCCGAAGCCACTTAATGGTCAAATCTTAACGTTTAGAAGATGAAATCTAAATCCATATTTGTAAAATTTTAGACCATCTGCATACTTCTCCAGGACATTTGTTGTGTCCTGAGATCGAAAGAAAGTTTTATCTGTAGGTAAAGATTTTCTGCAGAATTTGTTTAGTTTAACTCGAGTAATTATTCTCCATTGTATAGTTGATTCTTTCCTGCAAAGTTGTCGTTCAACTTATTGTCTGTTTTTCCAGTTGACTCGTGATGAGTGAGTCTTTAAAAATTTAATAACTAAGATGTTTTGCCACTAGATTTAGTTTATAATTTTCTGGTACAGTACACATAACCCAATAACACCTTTCTAGCTTAGGAAGATGGAAATGTCCAGTGACGGTGGATTCAAGCTACTCACATATGAATTATGAATATTGCTTTACAGGACATAAATGACTCGTGCTTCTTCAGCCTAACATTTAGCAAATGAAACTAGATCAGTGCAATTGTGATTTTCATGTTTGCATTAAAAATTTTGGTTGATAGTCCAATTTTTTCTCTCTTTTTCCAGGAATGCTGTATATGTCTTTGTGCATATGAGGATGCCACTGAGCTCCATGCCCTTTCTTGCAGTCATCACTTTCATTCAACTTGTATTGTGAAATGGCTTAAGATGAATGCGACATGTCCGCTCTGCAAATACAACATCCTCAAGGGGAACGACCAAGTTTAAACAAAGAGAAGAAAACCAGCTGGACTTGTATATCCGCTTGTCTCATCTGGAAGGACAGAATCTAGACTGGAAATATAATCCTACTATATACATATGGGAATAAGGTGGCTTAGCTTTTTTGTACATTTTCCTATTACAAGTTTTTCGTACTTTTAAGGTATAACGGCCTTTGTAAATCTTTTTGTTTCCATTTGTTTTATAGTTGGTTAGAGCAAGACTGGTGATTGAACATAATACAAGCATACAGGTTGTGTAGATATAATATTTATGATTTTAACTTCGATGGGTTGCTCAATTGGTCAGGTCTTGAGTTTGCTTTCTAATGGTCACCTGTTCGAGTCCCCTCAAGGCAATTGAGATGAGTACCCGATCGTAAACTTCAGGGTCCCGTGGAATTAGTCGAGGTGTACATAAGTTGGTCCGGACATCCACGGTTATAAAAAATAAAAATAAAAAAATAATAAAAATTTTTATTGTATGCTAATCAAAGCGTTGCACGTCATTAAGAAATGCTGTATAGGTGCTGTAAAAGTAGCATTTGAATATAGTAGAACCTCGACAAATAAATGTTCGATAAATTAATAATCTCGAATAAATAATAAAATTCTTTGATCCTAACTTAGGCCAGTGTCCTAAATTAATAACTTAACTAAATGCATAAGATAATATTTTATTTTTTGAGATCCTTTAAAGTTCAACGAATATATGAAATAATTGCTTAAATTTATAAAAGTTCATAATAATGCAAAATAACAATTTTTTT